AGAAGAAGATGGTATTTTTCCTTTGCACACACGCATACATTTATAATCTTATTTTCTTTTTCTTTTTAATCCAACTATAGTTTGACCATCCCTCATGTTTGTTTTGTATTTCCGTCATTGTTCTCATTACGTATTATTGTTGTTTGTTCTTTTTCATCCAACACATTTGTTATAGTATTTCTTGTCGTTGTCTTCTTCTATTTAGCAAAATTAAACGTTGCTTATAATGAAAAATGAATTGATTATAATCATGTCCTTGATTTATGTCGTTAATTATAGGTAGGCGATGAATAAATGTCAGTTGAAAAATGGTAATCATCGATGACACATGATAAGGTTATACATCGCTTACTAGTCATTCGTTAGAAAAGAAAAATGAACAGAAGTATATTGCATTGAGAATATTTTTTGTCTATGCATGTGCGTCCTTATAAATCGATGATTGTATTTGATAGAAATTGTTGTCTTTGTTTAGATAAAAATTTTCAATTTATTAAAGTATCTTCTTTTAATGTGAAACTGATGGTAAGAATAGATAGTCAATGTGAAGATTCATATGCATATGAGAAATGATTATTGATGATAGATGTATTTGAGTATACCTGATGATTATATTCAACAAGAAAAATCTTAATCGAGTTTATCACAAAACTGTGAAAATTCATAGTACAATGATCAAAGAATATGTATATAAAAGATCAATGAAATGGATATTAATAATATATAATGATCACAGTTTGTTGAAAAAAATCGATCATAATAGGAAAAGAATATTTAAAGAAAAATTAATAACTCCGACAACACATGCAATTAATATCAAACATTGATTGATATCTTTTTATGTGATATAATAATCCTTTGAAAATCAATAAATATAAGTATTATATAATTACATGATGAAAAACTCATCACATCGGAAATTTGCAAGATTAAATGATAAAATTTTTAAGAAGATGGTTAAGACTTTTTTAATTCAGCTAATAGTAAAATAAAAGAGTCACACAAAAGACATGCAGGACATTGATTTTGGATTTTTTTGCAATATTAAGACTTATCTAATTGAAAAGAGCACTGAACACTGCGTTGATTATACAGTAAGAAAGAGTCATTTTCTTCTCGTAAATTTGTCTCGCATTCTGGATGTCTCCGTGGAAACTTTCTGTTGTAGATAGCTACCACTTTTAGCCATTCAATAGAACTGCTTACCTATGTAAAAGCGAAGTTCTATTTGCAGTTTTTTAAAGAAAACCAGTTATTTTTTCTTAAAGAGGAATTAAATCACGTCATATTTTGCAGATTAATATGTTAATAAGACATAAGATACGGCAAACATCAAAAGTGTGGTTTGATCGTAAACATATACTAAAATTTATTTATTAGATACTGCAGAATACTATGTATGAAAGCCAGCTCAAAATTTAAACAGCAACTTCAAGTATCCTTTTATTCAATATGTTGCGACTAAATAGTTTTTTAAGTATTTTAGCAATATATCATCTCAAAATACATAAATTTCCATAAAATACTGATACAATGTATTTCTTTGGTTGTGATTCTAAGAAAACTATCGTAGGATACCATGAACGATGCACGATTAATATTTTAGGTGAAGCAATAAAGTTTTAAATGAGTCGATTTTGTTCTCCTTTCCCTATAATGGAGTCTGTGGATTAAGAGAAGAAAAATACTTACATACACACACACACTCTATTCTTTCAAAGAACATTATCTTTAAAACTATTAATGTAAACAATTCTTTGCGTGTAATAAAAATATATTTGTCTCGATTGATCAGAATTTTCTTTACGGATTTACTAACATGAGAAATAGCGACAAAGAAAAAAGTTTACACGATTGGTAAAGAAAGTATTAAAAATTTCAACAGAGAACATATACGGTTCTGAAAAAAAACCGTATGAATGAATGATGGTTTCTCTAAAGCTTTGGAAGACTTTCTACGTTAGCTCTTCTTCCTTCTAAGAAGAAATCGACGAAAGCTATAAAAGAGGATTCGTTAGAGTATTGCCCGTGTTGGTCACCACTGGAATTTTGATATGAGACGCAATTGTCTCAAACGATAGACCATCATGATAAACATCTAAATTCAAACTATTAGCTCTTTCTAGCGTGCTCATCGAAAATGTTAAAGCATACAAATGTTGCAATACTTTACTTGTGGAAAAATCAGTTTTTATGATTGCTGCTAGTATTTTATGCTTTTTTCAGCATTTGTTTATCGATTCGAGCCCGGAAGCACCTCAAAAATTACGTTTCCTAAAAAGCTAACTAATTCAATAATTTCTCTCATATTTTCCACTGATTCTTAATATCAATATAGAGGGAAAAAAGTTCATTGATTACTAAGATAACTTTCTTGTGCTTTTGATTCTGATAATTATTGAGTCACGCACTGCCAAAAAACATTTTATATTTTTGTTCAAAGCACTTCAAAGTCTGCATCGTTTACGGTATTACTGCAAAAAACTTTAATATCAGTCGAAAAATAATAATCAATCTTACAATAATCATCTTCATACATTCTAATCCAATATTGACTACTATATAACCTAGATTTGTTCGAATAAAAATATGAGAAGTTAATTTGACTAACTCATACTTCAAATATTTCTGAAGGATATCATACACAACGTTTTTGATGAATTGATGATTTTCATAAAAATTGTTCTATATTTGGTTTTATACATTGACTTTTTTTTCCTTATTGAAAATTTATTTTCATGTACAAAAACTTAATTTTAGCCAGTTTTTCAAGGGTTACAATATACACAATATCAATGATTCATTTTCAATCAGTTCAAGTATAAGAAAAAACACCATTTCAGTGAAATTCAATTGGTTATTTTGAGAAAGGTATAGTAGCATAACTCCACGAAGAGATTAATTCTAGTATTCATATGACACTTGGAACTTTTTATAGTGCCTATTTCTATTTTAGTATGCTATGTTCCATATACTCTAATATTATAAACAAGAGAACAACAATTCCAAAACTTGTCATCTCATGTCTCACACTGTATGATATAAAACTATGCCATTTATTTTGGCTCATTTTCTTTAATAGAGACATCATTTGTTTACAACAACTAAAAAGTTGGACGGTTACTTATTTTAAATCACTACTTAATACAACTAATCAACTTAAATTTTTTTTAAATGACCACTATCAGAAGAAGACACAAAGATGAATCGCGAAGTTCAGTTTTTGAACAGGATTTCATGTTTTTAGGTTGTCTCAAGACTTGAATGCCTTTCTATTTGCGTCATACTAGTAGTTGTCAAAAATTTTTCGGAGTGAGCTCGAAATTAGAAGATGCGGACATGCATAGTTTAGAGAGAATTTAAGTTCTAAATTGCTAGTAACTTTTTGTTGAACATCATCAATGCATTCAGCATCGTCAAAGATCCCTCATCGTACGATGAAAAATACTGAATACAAAAATTAGAACTAAAACTTCTAACATAACAATTAAAAATCTATCAGCTCTGAATACTGTTCTGCAACCGAATTGAGTATCCGAAACTAGGCTCAGTTAGAAATACGGGTTTGGGCGCAATCTAGTCAAGTAAGTTTGAGTGTGGAGCATGAAGAAAAATCTTGGTTCGGATTCCAAGAATGATCTTATAATCGGACTCGACCTGTTTAGTAATGAGAGTCTCAACATTTCAAAATATTTTTATTTTTTCAAACTGCTAATTTATATAAAAGCATAAAATGAACATGTATTATCGTAATGAAAAAAGTATTTATGTATGTATCCACAATTATGACGTTTGACATCAATGCTGTGTCCAATGCCAGCATCATCAATAACAACAAAAACCATATTCTTAGTAAAACTGATCGAATTTTAGAAGCAAAAAGACATCAAGTATATCCTAAGTCACTTGTTTTTTTGTGGAATTTGAGATGATCTCTTCTTTTCTTCGGTGCTGTTTATGAAAGGAACTAAATAGTATACGTTTTCACATAAAATAAAAAGTTTGTGGACTGTACTGCGGCTGTGAGAGTATTTGTCAGATGTCGATTAGCTCCGGTTGTGAAAAGTCGTACCCGTGCCGAACACCAGATCTGAATTTCAAGACCATTTCTTTGGATTATGAAAACATCAGTAACAAGCAAACCAATCGAGCTGGTTCCAAATCTGATCTTAATGCTCGAAATAGAATTTTGAGTCGTAAGTAAATAAACGTCAGTATTACTTATATATGACAGTTTTAAAATTCAGAGTTTTGGAGTTAAAATGAGCAGAAACATTTGTATTTTGTTTCTCAGTATGTTTATTTTGAATATATATTTCAATTACTTTTGAAGTAGTAAATTAATTTTTTGTGCCATCAAACTTGACAATATTTATGCAAAAAATAAGTTTTATTTTCATATGTTACGAATGACTGTTTGTTTCTTGATCGAATTCTTATAATATTATGAATCATCGTATAAGATGCAAAAAAAATGCACATATTTTTTTTTATGTAAATTGAAGTTGAAGCAATTCTTTTGCATATTGCTTAAAGTAGTCAATTGTATTTACAATTTTCGAGGCAAGCAATTTTACTATGCTGTGAATGGTTTTCATACTAAAATATGTGACGACAGTTTTCTTCCTTTGATTGATGATTATATTCCTGGATAGATAGACTGTTGATTTTGATTGACTAGCGCCCTCATCATATTACCTGTCAAACTTTCATAAACAATTGGTCGTTTTATTTACTCCAATCATAACTGAACGAGAAGTTTTCCTTTTCCTTAGCTAACGTTTGTAAGAGAACAGAGCATACTGGTATATGCGAAATATATTATATTGCGTTACGGTTGAGTACGTTCACTTCTCATCTTCAATTAAGGCCATGTTTCGTCTATGTACGAAGATAAAAAAATTCTCTTGAAATCAGATCCTTGATCTCTTGTCATTCTTTTAGATGATATGACTTATTGAATTAATTTTATTACCTTTGTTTTCAATAGATCTTTTACAATGTTCTTCATAAAAAGTCAAACCAATCGACAATCTTTATTTGGTGGTTTTTATTTTTTATATTTCCTCTTTATATTACATATATGTACAGCATTTTTAACAATAATCAGTGGACTTAATAATAATTTGAAAGATAATGAAGGTTTGAATTGATTCTCTATTGCTGTTTTTTAATTCATTTTTTGATTAATTTCTTTAGCAATTATTCAATTATCAATGGATTCAATTCATGTTGTTGAATCCTCAGATCATCAAATTGCAGTAAATTTCGTATTTATTTTTTAAAATATCTTACTCATTTTCTTTGTTTGAAGAATATTGAAGAAAATATAACTGATAATGAAGAAAAAGAACTTCTTATGGCTCTATTAACAACCTATGATGATGAATTAGAAACAAATAAAAAAATTGATAATGAAATACCTATAATAAATACTTCAACATCAATTCGTTTTATTCCCTCTTTACTAGTTTTTGCTGAACAGTAAGCTTTATTCAATTGAAAATATAATAGAAATATATTTAATATGAAATTCAGATCAATAGCTATACCACAAATGCAAACTGTTATGATAATTAATGATGATTCTGAACCACTTGAACTTTATTCATTAGCAGGAACAACCGATCAATTTTATTCATCATTTTTTAAACAAAATGTTCTTCCACCTTATGGTGGTAAAACATCAATGAATGTTTATTATTTACCAAGAACAATAGGTTTTACAAATAGTATATTTATAATAAAAACAAATCGTGGAAATTTTTATTACAATGTAAATAAAAAAATTTTAAATTTTAATTTTCTAAATAATAATATTTAATTATTTAAAGGTCAGTGGTATTGGTAAATCTAATCCATTTCGTTTACGTCCATTATTAAATGCAAGAATACCATTGAATTCTACATATGAATATACAATTCAATTTTATAATCCATATAATTATTCAATAGATATAAATGAAATCTATACAAGTGATGAAAATTTAATAATTGAATTTTTATCAAAGAGCAATATGAAGAATAGAATAACAAAAACATTTGAACATTATGAACAATGGCGTTTAAAACCTCATGAAATAAAACCAATTATTAAAATAAATTATTTTGCATATAAATTAAATAAATTGCATGGATATATTTGTATTAAAACAAATCTTAGTGATATTGTTATTATACCGGTGGAAATAAATGTTTTAAATCGTTCAGGTCTTTATTCAAATGTTGATTTATTAGAATTTACTGCTCATAGATTTATACATTCATCAGTAAAACCAATAACAATACCAGTTTATGTATTCAATAATGATATAAAGCCGATAATGATCACTGTAAGATAGTACTTCTTTTTCTAGTGAGATTAAAGCTTGAATATTATCTAAAAATTAGTAATACAACAAAAAACAACAATATATCTTACAAGCAAACGTTTTCAAATGTCAAATTACTTTTGAATCGGGACTATGTATATAATGTAGTTTGTTTCTAATGAGCTATGGATACTCTGGAAAGAGTTCGGACTAATAGTTTATTGCTGCCAAGATATTGTATTTAATCGTATTTTTGAGTAGAATAGCGTGGTTCCTCTCAAGAACACCAAGAAAATTGACTTGCGAATTTTGACTTGAAAATTTGCACAGAGATAGGTCTTAACGAGAATAGCTTATTGTATAAGTTAAAGACTTTTTGATTGCGCCTATTTTAAAATAAGAAGATCGGAATCAGCCGTTGTATATGACCAATGTCGAACACATGCTTTTATCATAGCCATATCATAAAATAGAAGCAATCAAAAGATCTAAAACTTTTACAATAAACTATTCTTATTAAAACGTGTCTATATGCGAACTTTCAAGTCCAAACTCAAAACTGAATTTCCATGGTGTTGCTCAAGGAGATCATGACATTCTACTAAGAAATACCTACATGATACACATAGGCGTGATTCAAAATCAATTTCACACTTAGAAACTTTCTCTCATTAGATCTTTTCTGAAGTAACCAGAAAAGTTTGATAAAATTCTGAGTCAAAAGAAGTATGACGGGTAGAACAGTCTTAACATTGATCAAATTTGTTAAGATCTTCTTTCAAGATTCGTCACAACATATCATTTTCAAGGATCAAGGTTTTCATTAGTCATCGAAAAGTAACGTACTCTATCGAGATACAACTATATCTTAAAACAATAAATTTTCATGACTTTAAATGAAAACATCAAGAATAAGCTCTATTTGATTTCAATGTTGTTCTCCCCGCATATAAAAATGTTCTCAAAGACTTATCAAATGATTCTTTGCTAATATATCTGTTTGAATCATTGGTTAAATCTAATTTTGTTTTCTGACTAGCTTTCCAGTTGACATCTATATGGAAGATATAGAAATTAATTGAATATCTTCTACTAGTAAAATTCATTCTCAATAGTCTGTCCTCTTTTAGGATGTTCGTGTGACACCAGAACATAGGAATTATATAACTGTTCATTTTAAAAGTCTTCCAATTCCTCCTGATATTCATCGTTTGAATCAAATAGCTGATATAACTATTCATCCAAATTTGATTCCTAATCATATTCATGAAATATATGGTTATGTTCAAGTATACACATCATTAAATAATGAAGAACCTGTATTAGAAATACCTTTTCAAGAAACAATTTTACATGGCTCACTTCATTATAAAAAAGAAGATACTTTTTTTTATATTCCATCATTAAATCACGCATTAGCCAATGATAATATAAAACAATGTCAATCAATTAAACTTCTTAATCAGTATAATACACCGATTTCTGTATATAATGTAACAGTGAACAAATTGGAACTACTTTCACAATTTGTTAAAGTAAAAATAAGATAAAAAAAACAAAACTATTAGAAAATAATCGAAATACTTTTTTCGCTATAGATCGAACATCGTTCATCTTTTTCTTATTTGTATCCCGAACAATGGAGTGAATTATTATGTGTAACTCATCTTAAACAATCATCATCATCTGTACCATTTTCCAATATTCAAACAGTAATTGATGTTCATACAAATATCTCGAATTTTATTATTCCGATTTATTTATACAATGGATTTCTTAGCGTAAGACATTTTTATTTCTATTTTTAAATAATAATAAAATTGTTAACAAAACTCACATAAAAAAAAATTGTTTTGTTTTACAAGAAAGAAAAAAAAGAATTTGAGAGAAGAATTATGAGACCACCGAGTATCATGTCAATATACGAGACATTCGACAATTTTTTTCCTTCTTTTTTTTTGTATATTCAATACATTAATAGCTGAAACTAGTAGTAACCTCAAATTTTTAGCGTTCAATATTATTTCTTTCAACAGTTAGTCAATATTGACTTTTTTCCACTATCATATGATTATGAGTAAAACTAGCAAGAAATACTCTCTAAAAATTGTGCTTGTTTTCGTTTCAATGAATCATTGAAATTTTTTTATAAATTATACTACATAGGTTAGTCAATAAGTTCTCGGATTTTCAAATATTTATTCATAGAAAAAACATTTTACTAATCTTTTTACAGTAAATGTTCAAAGTAGTCCCCACGATGTTCAGTACAAAGTTTCATCCTTTTAATCCACTCCTGGAATGTCTTT